TATATACTTTTGTGGCTAAGATTGTTTTTGTGGATATATCAATACCTTCAACCCTTCTGCACAGGAATTTATCTGTTCTTTTAAGATAACTTTGCACGTATTTGTGCTGATCTATTTTGTGTCATTCTTGAAGTTTATCAATCAAAAGCTAAACTTATCTTGTATCTTTTATTTTTAATTTCTTGCCAACACCTCTCTCATTATAAGAACAATGACAAGAATCAAAAGAATTAATTCCAGGATAAGATAATGCTTACTGAAAATCCTGGCTATTTATGAGAAATGAGTGAGGATAAATAATAGCAGGTGTCCTCTTTCTCTTTCATTTAGGGTAGAAGTAGTATATCCACAGGATTCAGTTAATCATCTTAACACACATCTTGATTGCTAGGATAAAGCTCTCTAAACTCCTCCTACAAGAGGCACCATGTTTCTCTTTATAATGGTACCAAACCCCATGCTAAGCTAGAACTGTTGCTCTGGAAGGAGGTGTGGCCCAGAATAAATCAAAGCTGGCATACAATGTCAGGAAAAGATGGTGCTATGCCAGTTATATTCCATCAATGAAAAAACAAGCTCGTTCAAGATTTATGCTGCCATAGTGCCATGCACTTCAAGAGCAATGTCTAATGCCACAGTCTCAGTGTTTCTTTTTCCAACTAGGCAAATGCCAAGAGGAGCATTTTCCCACAAACAAGTGTGTGGGAGATAGTAAATGCAATAATAAGGCTAATTAACCCATCAGGGTGCTTCAAGACTGGAATGATTCAGTCAGACAGAAACAAGAGATTTTTATTCCTTTATTATTATGTCTTCTTTATTTGTGGAGCCAGAGGGTGGGAAAAGGACCAAGAATTCAGACATGAGAAAGATCTGAATGAACTTAGGAACCTATCTAGTAGTTTAGAGTCTGGAGAATACTGTAGGGAGAAGTATTCCAAAAAAAATGCTGAAGCAACTTTCTCTGGAGACATATCATGCACACTTAGGGAGTTCCCAGATGCTTGTCTGCCTGGAACCAGCTACTTTTCATTGAGTTGGAGAACTCATATTTGGAAACCTCTGATTGATAACAGCACACCGATGAATAGTTATATTTTGATGCGAGGTGGACGATCATGCCATCAACCTTCATTGTACTGACCAATGAGAAATCTCTGAAAATAACGTGGAAAGGATAAGAAAATAGGTGATCAGTACAGAAAAAGCAAAACATCTTAATAAGAGAGAAACAAATATAAAAATTAAGTTATAAAAAGTTTTAAACTATATTAATACCGTCTTTGCAATTTTTTAATTGTTGTGGTGTTATACTATGTTTTTAAGTTTACCAAATTTTATTTTTATTAGAACTAAATTAATAAAATGAGGGAAATTTTATTAAAGTAAGCATTGTCTATGGTGTTGTAGAAATTTGGTAAGATCTGAATACTCAAGCAAAAAAGAACACAGATGAAAACCAATTGTGTATAATTGAGTATATGCAAAGTTACCCTCCCCCAAAATGAGTAAAGAAATTAAAAGAATTTAAAAGGAAAAATGCTGAGAGTGATTTTTGAAAAAATAATTGTAACAGATCCTAAAAATCTAATTAACTTAACTCTATTCAATACTTACCAACAGTAAAAGACAAGACATAGCACACCAAACTCACCAACTATCACATGGTTTCACTTGATTCTACTTAACAACAGTTTCCTATAGTTAATAACAAGCTGAACTATATTAATGAAGAGAAATCAGAAAAAAAAATAACCATAAAATTCTAAAAGAAAATATTCCAAAGGGGGGGGAAAAAAAACAAACTAAAGAAATATCTAATTAAACACCCAAAATAAGAGATAATTACTTTCTGGCAGAATTAATGAATGGGAGGAAAAAAAGCTAAATGAAAGCTTCGTTACATTTCCACTACTACTGAATAAGAGTTTGAAGTATTTGTCTAAAAGTTTTTTGGGACAATTACTTTTGGTTTGTGGGGGTTTTTTTAAACATTATAGCTTGATAGTATGTACACAATAAATAAATAATGAGCTGCTAAGCTTTACCTACGACTCTGAAAGATTACTTTTAAAAAAGGATCTCAGACCGAATTATAATGTTGGAAGAAACTTCCATTTTTTGAGAATGTTGTGGATTTGACTTTCAAGTCCTAAAAAGTCATTATCGTGAGGCTCTACTTTAATCTTGTAACTGCAGATTGTATCTGGGTATCCTTTACTAAAAATAAGAAATCAAAAGGGATAAACTACTAACCATATTTATAATCTTTTCTTTAAATTGATGGGAGACATGGTGCCTAAATTCATTATTTGAGTGGGGCATTTGGTTTGTTCTACAACAATTAAATAGGGCAATACACAAGATGAAGCCTCATTCAAGCTCTTATATTTTTCAATCAGAAAAAGAAAATGCTCAGATCCTGTGAATTACCTGTCCTGTTTCACCTGTATTGCGGCCACACATCTGTAGAAGCACAACATCAGCCAACTGTTAATCAAGGATCACTTCCCTTCAAAGTGACTGATGATCCACTGTTAAAACAGCTTATAAAAATAACTTCTCCTTCGAAAAGGTGCTTGAGGGTTTTCAGACACATCTCACCATTCCTTTTTTTTTGTTTGAAAGTTAATTTCTCATTAATATTTAAAGAACAAATGGCTTCAGAACAAATTTTAAATGATCCATTACATTTTAGAAATAAAATATTATTGGCATTATTTTTATCTCAATTACAAAGAATAATAATGTCCAAGATTGGCTTTTAAAACTGTTAATGAGCCCTGGCAATGTGAAAAAGATATGGATTAGGTAGATGTAATAAGATATGATTAAAGGGTGTAAGCACTGAAGGGTGTTGGAGAAATTCTTTTCAGAAAGAGTATAATTAGTGTCTGATAAAAGTACTTAGTAGATAAGATTTTTGAAGAAGAAAGGTTAAGATAAACACATACTTTATGACAAACCTGCTTAATTTTTCCCCTTTGGTTCTCCTACATACTCAATATTATGTTGAAGTTTTATACATAAGTAATGTTTGTCGAATACTTGATGCATTTCTACCAGACAATTAGAGTGTTTTAATTGCCAGACACAGAGAGCAGAAAATGTGTTGAAACATCTTATTTCATTTTCAGTGTACACTTCTTTGTTGATTTATGTAATGTAGCTAATAATATGCAACGTACCCTAGTTTTAAACAAACAAATGAACTTCTAAAAAGCAAGCTTCCCATGAGTTGCTAAGCAACTCCAGACACATTTTATTAATTTAATAAATAACATTTAGATGAAAAATCCTTAAAGAAGATTTCTAACTCCATTTTATAAAAAGTAGAATATCTAAGCAGGTATCCTTCTGATTTTCTTGTTTCTAAGGCCTCAGGGCTAAGAAGAGACACTGCCATTTTGAGCTCCATTTGACTTAGTAAACAAATAAAGCATTTCTTCAATTCAAATTGTTACCGTAATATAAGTTAGGTTCGAGGACTCACTGTATAGCTCTCCAGAGTTAGAGCTCGTGCTTCATTCCCACAATTGAAGGTTCTCATCCTGGACACTATTGACATTTTGGACTGGAAAATTCATTGGACGGGGGACTCTCCTGTGCCTTGTAAGATATTAAGCAATTTCTATCCTTGGCCTCTACTTACTAGATGTCAGTAGTGGCCCCATAGTTGTTATAACTAAAAATGTCTCTGGACATTGCCAAATGTGCCCTCGTGGGCGGGCAGTGTTCAAAATCTCACCCAATTTAGAACTGCTGCAACTAAATAATGGGTAAGTATGAATAATGAGTAAATAACTAACTTCGAGTCACCATCAGTCAACACCTAATATTCCCTAGGACCACCAGCAATGAAGAATAAAGGGGTAGTACTGATTCCAGTGATACTGTGGCTCTTGTTCTATTCAAGGCTCATTATTATACCATTTCAGTGTAATTTCCATTATATAAAAACTGGGGAGAAAGGTCCTACTGATTACTCTGTCTATAGACATCTCTAGTAATATCCTGATCTGGTCTCTGGTCTTTAAGGTTTCCTACAAATTACCAAACTCCATCTCATCAAACATCTTTCTCATTCTCCATGAATGCCACCTTTACCCACCCCCAAACACAAACAGCTTGCATATTCCAATCTTATGTGACACATAAAGGACAAATTCCTTTCCTTCATGAAAGATTTCCTAATTAATCCTTCCTTTATTTCTTATCAGCATCATATTTCTGTTAAAAAATGACATGACTGCCAATTAATGTGAGGCAATTATTTACTGAATGTTTTCAATATGCCAGACACTAAATATTCCTTAGTAGCTGTTTCTATCAATTTACATTTACATTATTTATGCCCAACTAGATTGTAAGTTCCCAGAGGATAAGAATGAATCTGCTGCCTCTTAATAATGATGCTAATAAATATACTTTAAATTTGATTAGCAATTATAACCTTTCGAATTACTTTCATGGTTATTACCTTATTGGTTACATTTTTCACTGTTTTATAGTCAATGAAAGTGGTATAGTAAATACTCTAGGGACTAGTCTACAGGTTACACAACTTGTGCTCAGTAGAATATGCATTTAATATATGTCAACTGACTGAATCCAGTCTCACAACTTCACCACTATAAAATTTCTCTCCTGGAAAGTTCTTATAGCATTTAAAAACAAATGTTACTGTAAAGAACAAAAACAGCTCAGTGATGTAGAAGACACAACACAGAAGTGAATTAGGATTGGCAAGGGTTAAACTATAACATAGCTTGAAAGCAAAAGAGAAATATTAGTTTCTCCCTCAGTTGGCTACAAGAGATTATAAGGCCTTGGCCTCTTATCACAGAAAGTAAAACTTGGAAAAGAAAGCAAAATGGAAAGGAAAAACCACAGAAGAGCTAATAAAGCCCCAAATTCTAAAAAGCACAGCATTTTGCTTCATACATAGAAAGTTCAAGAAAACATTTTCAACAACTCTTAAGAGATTTCCTCCTAGATTTTTGGTGTCCCTAAACACCATCAGAATGCCTGTAAAAACCACGTATTTAGTAACCTCGCAATTGACTTCAACAAAACACCAGAAGTCAGAAGTCAGCTGATTTCTAAGGATACCCACTAACCCTAAGCACCATGAGCCCAAAGAAGCAACATCGTTTATTCAGTAATTATTTCAATATTTATTGCACACCTACTAAATGCAGACACTGGCCTATCCCTGGAGCTAAAAAAAGGCCTACCTCTCAGTTGTTAATGTAAATGTGTGCAGGGAATTCAGAAAAGGGCAGGTGATCCAAAAAGACAAATTTTTATATATATATATATTTATATTTATATATATATATATAAATATAAATATATATATAGATAGATAGATACATATTTATCTTCAATGTTCCTTAACTCTCAACCTCTGACCCTCCTATTCCACCCCACCCCCATCTCAAGTTTGAAAAAGTAAGGAAATCAAAGAAAATTTAAAATAAAGAGAAATGAAAGGAACGGGTAAAGGTCTCATCAGTCACCAGAAAGATATAGAAAACAGCACTCATCCATATCCCTTGGCCACGTGACTGGGCGGAAGCGCAGGAGCCCACAGCAGCCGGAAGTGCTAACGGTAGGGAAGGTGCAGGCCCCACAGAGGACCGGAAGTGCAGGACTTGGAGCACGCGGGAGAACTTGGCCCTGGGCAGGTTTTGACTCCAGAACAGAGGCCGCACGAGGCATCTCAGGGTTTTCTCTGATAGCAAAGGCCTATCATAATCACAGCAGGTTTTCTTCAAAATAGGGATTTTTGAGCTTTTCCAGATTCCTAAATGTGGCGGGTAAGCTTGACGTGAGTTTTTCAGGGAAGGGTCTGTGCTCCTCTCCCAGCGTTTTCCGAAGCCCCCTAAACCCACACGCAGAGGGAAACGTACACTTTAAAGTCGAGGGGTGTTAACCTGCCCAGCGTTTGCCGAGCGGTGCCCGCTTCCTGAGCGGGGAAGACTGAAGTGGGAAGTGGGACGGTATCCAAGGCGGATAGGATGTTAGAAAGCGGGCACTCTGGGGCACGGGGGCTCCGATGGGTGCTCCGATGGGGGCATTGATGTTTCTACGGAAAGGGGTCGCAGTGGGGGCGGGGGGCTTTGTTCTCGCCGCTCTTCTCCGAGACCCGGCG